ACCTGACGTATCTCAGGATCTAGAATTCATCCAATCGAGGCATGGTCTCAGGAACTTACGGCTTCGGTCCCGGACCAATGGATTGATATATAACAGGTACCGCCTCACACTGCGGAGGACTTCGTGGCCCGAATCTGAGCGTCATTGCGACCAGATGCATCCGCGGCTTCGATCCCGGACCGATGGATTGATGAAGAAGAACAGAAGAAAGCAAGCGAATGTCGATTCCCTAATTAAGTAAGTCTCTCACACCTGAGCGCCAGGCACTCTTACTCTCTCAGTCGACAGATGTAGACCGATCGAGACATCCGGCGTTGCAATTGAATTCGAACGATACAGAGAGAAAAGACCAGTTAATTCATCCATTCATTCATTAATTTAATAAATTGATTGATTGGCATCACGATGGCGTACTATGCGAATTTTTCTGTAGAATGGATGACAGGCACCAATCTAGGGACGGTCCAAACTTTCAACCAAACCTACCGACGGTAAACAAAACCAAAGGAAATGTGCCTGGCCGTACTAATCACCCACCAGATTTACAAAATGAGAATGAATCCTCCGCTAGAACACGGAAAGATTCACCGCCATCACTTTTGTACTCCGTGCACTTGGTGAGTAATGCGGGGATGCCCAAAGATACAAGCCAAAGATATCTTTCGGCATCGCCGCACTACTCACCAAATGCACAGAGTGCAAAAGTGATGGCAGTGAATCTTTCCGTGTTCTAGCGGAAGATACAGACCACCGATTGACGAACGGGGGTTCGAGCGAGTCTCCTTTCTCCACTCTTTTAAGTGCAAGATGATGATATCTCCGCGCAATGGGTAATTACTGTATATCCACAAAATCCGGTCAAGCAAAAAGAAGGCGAGCCCGCCTTGCAGGTAAAAAAAAAAAAAAAAAAAAAGCCGGTGGTTCAAAAAAAAGGGATGAATAATGAACATGGGATCGCATCTTGATGCGGGTACGACCAACTGTATCTAGTCAATCTAGACGCAAATTTAATGAGAGAGAGAGAGAGGGAGAGAGGCTAGCCTCGCTCCACTTCTCACCAGATACAGAAAAGAGAAAAAATACGGCGGTGCATCTTCCCATGTTCTAGCGGAAGATTCAATGACATTCTCATTTTGCACATTTGGCTGAGTGGTGGAGCGAGGCCCATGTACTGTTCTGATCGGCTTTTTCTCCCAAAAAAACATTCACTTAGTATTAATTAAAAGTTAAAACAATTTGAATATAAATATAGACTGATCGGCTTTTTCTCCGAAAAAAACATTCACTTAGTATTAATTAAAAGTTAAAACAATCTGAATATAAATATAGAGGCCCGGGAGCTCACAATTCAACCCACCCGGGGCCAAGTCCCACTAGCAGCGTTGAGCTACCTCAACGCCTGAATGTGGACGCTTTTGCGGAGATGTGCAGAAATGGTGTCGAGTTTCCTGAACTGCACGTCTCCACAAAGACGTCCAGATTCAGGAGTTGAGGTAGCTCAACGATGCTAGTGGGACTTGGCCCCATCATTACCCAGTTTCGCTTATTACGTACGTATGATTTAACCAGAAAACGAATCGGATTCCCCAAAATACGGTTTCTCTAAAGCCCAATTTTATCAATTCCAATATCATATCATATTGCCAGTCTATGTTTGAATTCCTCAACCCTTCAGATCGGGTAACTATCTGAACGATGGAAAAGAACAAGGAAAAGAGAGAGAAGAAAAAAAAAAGGAGAAAAAGAAAGAAAGAAAGAGAAAAAGAAGCAAAGAGAAAAAGAAAGAGAAAAGGAAAAAAAGAGAAAAGAAGAAAGAAGGACAAAAAGAAAGAAAGAGAAAAAGAAAGAAAGAGCACTGGTGGTGTATGAGTAATCTCCTTACTGCCGAATTTTTTCACTCTTTGTCCCGATCGAGACTGTGGATGGATCGCGGCAAAGAGCGAAAAAATCGGCAGTAAGGGGATCATAGTCAATAGACTGTGGATGGATGGATTTCAAAAAAAAAAAAAAAAAAAAAAAAAAAGGGACTGTGAATGGAGGCATCGCAATCCAGCATCCCAGGCCCGGTGGTGTCCCCGAGCCGCCGCACCACATCGACTCGCGCATCCGAATGCAGACCACATATGCGTCTCGGTGCGTCCGATCGAAGACCCCTGGAGAGACATCGGGTAAGAACGAGATCAGTTTGAGAAAAAGAAAAAAAAAAAAAAAAGGGAACGAACGAACGAGATCATTTGGCGTCAGGGGCACGTCGCGCTCCATCGCCATGGCCACTCGTACGTCCGATTGGGTTTGCCCGAGCCATCGGGCACGCCGAGACCCACATAAGACCTTGCCACACACACGATCTCCGACCGCCTCACCCCCTCTCTCCCTCCGACCGCCTCACCCCCTCTCTCCCTCCGACCGCCTCACCCCTTCATCTCCTGAGTGGAGCCGCAGTGTGGACAGTCGTTGTCGTGCCCTGTACGAGTCCAGCTCCAACTCCGACTTGCGATTACAGTTGCTCACAGCTCCAGTGTCTACTTACGTTCATATGAACACCAGATAACACCAATGGAGAAATAAAAGCGGCGATGGCCACACCAGGAGAAAACGCACCTCTATCTATCTATCTATCTATCTATCTATCTATCTACCTATCTACCTATCTATCTATATAGTGTGACAATATATATATATATATATATATATGTGACGATATATATATATATGTGATGGGGTGTGAACCGACAGTCTGTAGAGTTTTCCATCTGGTGTGGGTGAGTGATAGTCTACTTTGATTTTGGTTAAGGTAGATTATCATTTACAGTGTAATCAGTGAGGGGA